GACATTTTCATTAACAGGTTTCTGGTTTCAATGTGCTGGATGTGGTGTTGATGTGATAATAATTTCATTCTGTTGGAAGTAAGACCCATGAAAGAGTTCATGCAGACTTAATTCAACTTCTGGAGTCCTGAGGGATGAAACCAGGAGCACGAAGGTGGCTGCTAGAGAAATTCCAACTCTAGTCAAGCACCCAGAAGTCATCTGGCTGACACTTGGAAATCAGGAAGGCTTTAATTCTCTACATTTAAACTTGAGAAGTTTATACTTTTACTGGATTTTAACACATCAAAGTAAGAGTGTTTGACTTTGTGATTCATTTCTGTGTTTTTTAGAATTTTTATACATTTTTATTATAAAAATACTGTACAGAGGGGTTCAGTTACATGAGTAAGATAATGAGTACATTTCCTATCGAGCATTGTTACCTCCTCCTTTGTTTTTCCTCTACCATCCCCTCTCTCCTCAACTTCTCAACTCCTTCCCCCGCAAGTTGTAAAGGTTTATTTTCAACATAGAGTCTTGTACATGTCATTGTGTCAACCTATATCCTTATATATATCCATTTTGTTATTTCCCTTCCCCTCCCCAAATTAGAAAATTGTATATACAAGATGCAGGACACGAGAATCAAATACAGTGACATCACAGGTTGTACCATGGGGGAAGAACATACAAAAGAAACAAAAAAATCATAAGGTATATTATAAATATATTAAAAACAACAGCAAGAAAGATACTATCACTTGTGTCTCTATCTTGGGGTTCATTTCACTTAGCATCATCTTATATGGTCATATGTACATAGCTTTTGAGCTTTTCTGCTTGTCCTAGATATATACTCGTCATTGCAAATAAGGGAAACCAGTTTTCAGAAATTTTAATTTCTTTTGTAGTTTGTCTTTGATTTTTGTTTCTCCACATAAAGTTGAGAATGGACATTCAAATTCTTTTATGTATGTTTGCCAGTCCCAAGGCTTGAACTCAGGGTCTGGGTACAGTCCCTAAGCTGTAGCTCTACTCTTTTTTTATGTTTTTTTTTCTTTTTGTGTTTTTTGTAGTTTATTGGAGAGAAGAGTCTCATGAAATTTCCTGCCAGGCTAGCTTCAAACCGCAATCCTCAGATCTCAGCCTCCTGAGTAAGTAGGATTATAAGCATGAGCCATGTGCCCAGCTATTATTGGGGGTCTTATTAATAAAATACACTATATCTTTCAGAACTTTCAAAGAACTTGTCAAAAATATGCACCTAAACTACTGTTTTGAACAGAGTTTTTTGAGCATTAGCTTGCTCTGGGGTCTAGAACAGGAAGTGAACATTCAGTGTGACACACAACAGCCTTGGAGCTACTTCATGTCTTCATCGAACTCTCTTCAGAATCAAGGGGGTAAATTTCATACTACATACTACAGAAGGATTCACAAAAAGAGCAGAGCATCATTATTAGAATTAATGCCTCATAAAAATCCTACAAATCCTATGAGACTCATGGTCCTCTCCCTCAAGAGGGAGCAGTTCTTCTGGTTCAACAATGTAATAATTAATCACAATGGTTAGGATATCACAACGTTAGAGAATGGAGAATAGGATTGATATTAAACAACATTACAAAATGGGTCACTATCGACATTACTTCTGCCACTTTTAAATGCCCTCATAACAACATCAAAGACATCACAGGTGATTAGTAAATAGAGGAAAGAATCACAATAGATTAGTTAGTGAATGTGCTCTTTTCTAAGCAAAAAAAAAGCCCTGAGCATGGTTGCTGCACTGACATTTCTCTCTCAGAAAGGAGTACCCTTGGCCTTACATACATTTCTGTGGGACCTCTGCTTCTTCCCGTTTCTCCCTGGCTCAAACCTCCAATGCACATTCATCTTAATGTCTCACGCTCCATTGCTTTTGTGCAACACTGATATGGCAGAGCCGTCCTCTGAGATGCCTACCCAGAATGGACTTATCTCCTGAGTGAGTAGTTATTACTATTTTAGTTAGTGCTCTGCTTTTCTCACCCTGGTCTCAGTTATTTTGTATCTCAGTTATTTCAATGGGCATGAATGTATTTTTCATACCTATGGGTTATAGCATGATCTTAACATTAGACAGTATTAACTGTTTTTCTGACCTGCCACAAAATACGTTAAAAATTCATATATCAGAACAAAAGACAGTCATTATTTTATTTATTTAAACTAAAAGTTAACTTTCATATAACACATGACCAAAAAAAAAAAACCCCGGCCATTTCTACATCGAGGTTCAGAATACCAGCAAACATTAAAGTTTAGGAAGTCCAATCATTTGATGCACAAAAACCATGACAAACAAAGTGAAAGAAAAATTTAAACCTAATACTAAGTGACTAGGTTGCTACAGACGGGAAGTTCCTTCAGAAGGATTAGCTTCTTTAAGTATTTTAAGTCCAGTCAACCTATAGTGCTTCCACATGTTAGTGGCTGCATACACTAATTTCAGCTGGCATAAGCTTTTATAAGTATGCAGAAACACAAGGCAAGGCATGCATTAAAATGTGATAATAACACACTTCAGGGACATGCAAAGCATGAGGCATGAATCTGAGTGCCTCTGGCTCCCATGAAGAATCACGTCCCAGAATCAATGTCCTTCTGTAAGCAATGTATAAGCAATGTGTGTGTGTGTGTGTGTGTGTGTGTGTGTGTGTATACACATATATATGTGTATTATATACATATATATATCCTGTATATATATCCTGTATATATATATATACATATAATACATATATATGTATTATATACATATAATTATATATATATATATATATATATATATATATATATATATATATATATATATATATATATATATATATACAGGATTTTGCTGTGTAGGCTGGCTTCAGACTTGCGAACCTCTTTGCTTTAGCCTCCTGAGTGCTAGGGACAAATAATCTGGTCACATCATATTTGGAAGGGAAAAACGATCAACTTTCTTTTTTAAAAAAATAAGTTTTTTATTGTGAAAATACTGTGCAGAGGGGTTACAGTTACATGAGCAAGGTAATGAGTGCATTTCTTATCAAGCAGCAAAAATGGTCAACTTTCTAAATGTAAATCTACAGTTAAATTTTAGCATTTTACTCACTTACCTTTTTTTTTTAATTCCAGGAGAGCTAGATAGGGACGGAAGAAAATGTGTTTTGGGCTGGGAAGCTTACTCAGTGGTACAGTGCTTGCCTAGCATGCATGAGGCCCTGGGTTTGATTCCTCAGCACCACATAAACAGAAAAAAGCCAGAAGTGGTGCTGTGGCTTGAGCTGAAGAGTTGAGGGACAGCACCCAGGACCAGCGTTCAGGCCCCATGACCATCAAAAACAAGTTGTGTTTTGTTTTTTATTTTTAAATCAAAGCAAGTGTAGGAGTGATTATATCAAGAAGGAAGAAATCAATCTTTAATAAAACTAACCACTTCCCAAAATACCCATAAGGAAGAATTTCTTGTGTTTAACATGCTTTAAAGGCAAATAACTTTCTTAGAAAGAGTGCAGATATTTTCAGGAGCTTTTAAATTATCAGACAAAAATTTCTAATAAAATGAAAAGTGATGGTCATTTTAAATACATTTTAAATAACCAATAAAAACAGATGTACTTTCTAAATACACACACATATTTTAAAAAATCTTTAGACCAAAAATGCATTATTAACTATAAGTATCAAAATGTCATAGTAAAATTATTCATTTAGCATTTCATTTAGTAAAAATTAAGAATAATAAAGAAACAGTCAGCCTTTATATAGTACACATGAAGAAATCAGATCAAATTAAAGTACCCAATGTGGCCACTTCCCAAATAACTAGTTGTTTGGCTGAGCCTTGCAGTTAAAAATGCATAGTTTCATATCTAGGCACTCCTCATGCACATATTTTTTTAATGCATGTGTGCTAGTCCTGGAGTTTGAACTCAGAGCCTAGACACTGAGATTCTTTGCTCAAGGCTAGGACGCTACCACTTGAGTCACAGCTCCACTTCTGGCTTTTTGGTGGTTAATTGGAGGTAAGAATCTCACTGACTTCATTCATACCCAGGCTGGCTTTGAAGATGAAGGGACCACAACCTTCAGATCTCAACTCCTGAATAAGCTAGGATTACAGGCTGAGCCTCAGTGTCTGGCTTATGCATAGATTTAAATTTGATTAAAGATGAACTGATAGGACAATTCTATTGCACACTTAAACTCAAATGTGAAATCCACAGTAATTTTTCAGGGATTAGAAAAACAGTATCTTTAGAGATCTCACATAGGAAATTTCATCTCTTGACACTCGTATAACTTTTGAATAACCTCTAGAAACAGACCAAAACATTTTTTTCTTTTGTCTGTCTGTTGTGAGGCTTGAACTCTGGGCCTGGGTGCTGTCCCTCAACTCTTCAGCTCAAGGAAAGCACTCTACCACTTGAGCCACAGTGCTACTTACAGTTTTCTGGTGGTTTATTGGAGGTAAGAGTCTCACAGGCTTCCCTACCCAGGTTGGCTATAAATGGTGATCTTCAGATCTCAGCCATCTGAGTAGCTAGGATTACAGGCATGAGTGACCAGTGCCAGGCTCAGACCAAAACATATCTATATGACCATATATTGACATGTTGTCATAATCAAGCAATCTCTCTCTCTCTGTTTCGGTTTCTTCCTTACTAGGAATCCAATAGGCAAGCTACTGAGTCACAGTCCTAGACCCAACAGTTTCAGAAAGTTATTTCCCACAGAAATTGACTGCCTAATTATGAGAATACATTAATTACATTTAATTACAAGTTACTAAAAATATTCAACTTATTTCAAACCTTAATGCTCCATCATGATTATTCTTTGTATAAGAAAGGAAAATGTTATATTTATCCATGTTATTATTCAACTGTCTCAGTACATCTTATCTCTTTCTAATGTTCAAAGGAAAAAAATCATATAAATTTCTTTCAAGATATCACATAGATAACTAAATCTTTACCACTTACCTGTTGAAACATCTTTAATTATTTTGCCGTATAAATCATAAAGATATCTAGCTGGTGAATGTAGATTCATTCTTGTTGTGCAAATATCTAAAACCTACACAGGAAAAATGCATAAACAATGTATTATAGTAAACTCTGTTTTAAATTGAATATATATTTTAAATACTTCCTATACTATAAGCCTATTAAAATTATAATAGTTTATGAAGGGTTTCCAATATATAAATTAAAAATGATGCTCCCAGTCCCTTTTCCTCTTAAGTTTTAGATAGGGTTTTACCCTTTTGCCCAGTGGCCTTGGAATAAGATTTTTCTATCTTCCCCTTCCCAAAAAGCTGGGATTACAAGCAATGTGCCATCCCACTCACTCTGCTTTTTATGTTAAATTTTAATTCCCTTTGTTTTTCTTTTAAATTCTGTTCAGGGATTGTATTTAAATCATCATTTTTCCTCACCATAGTCAATAGCCTTTGGCAGTTTTGCCATTTTCACGAAGCAACATCAGTTTTTAATCATTAGAGGAACATAAGCCAACTTTTTAAATAGCAAGTATTATGACTTGTCATACAAAAACAGAGAATACTTTTTGATAAGAAAGAAACCAAGAAATCCAAAGATAATGACAACTCAAGCATAGTCAGAAAGGCTTCCAGCTGTGTTCTCTGGATTGGGGGCTTTAAAAAAAAATGATGGTAACAAGAGACTACTTAGAAACCTTTCCCAGAAGCCTCTTCTCATATCTCAAGTGTATAGCAGAATAATGTATTCATTTCCAAACTATTTGTTTACAAGAGACATGTGACTACCATAAGAACTTTGGCTATTCAAAATAATTGTAGCTTTCCTTGAGTTGAAAGGAAGAACCTTAAACAGACTTAGCCCTGTGTAAAATGGCTGAGGCAGAAAAGGAATGTTGGATAGACAACCCCTGTAAATATGAACAGATTTTCTTATTTTATTTCCTAAGATTTGTATAAGGCCAATGTTCTGGCACTAAAAACAATTAGTTTTATTTGAGCATAATTCTACAAAATTGGCATAAATTTTATTTTTCTGGTTTATCAGAACCATAATAGAAGATAGTATTAATAATGAAATGAGTTAAATTAGAAAAAGTTAATTTTCATTCAGTAACTTGAAGTATTTTTATGACTACTAATGGTCTAGTGAGTATGAGAATAGAGTAGTGAGCAAAACCAGCCAGCATAGCTTGGACATGGACAAAGGCATTTGTAAAATGAACACACAATTGGGGGGAGGAGGGAAAGAGAGAGAAAAATGAGGGAAGGGGGTAACAAGATAGACAAGAAATGTACACACTGGGGCGGGAGGCGGGGGGGGAGGAATATGGAATGGGAAGGGGAAACAAAGGAGGAGGCTACAATGCTTGATAAGAAATGTACTCATTACCTTGCCCATGTAATTGTAACCCCTCTGTACAGTATTTTCACAATAATGTACACACTACCATACTTATATAACTGTAACCCCTCTGTACAACATCTTGGCATTAAACTTAAAATCAATTAAAAACATAAAATAAAATGAACCTACAATTAAATATGCAGTAGGGGGCACCAGGAAGGCTTTTCAGTAGAGATAAATGGGATTTCTCTGGAATATATGGACAATTGTCGTAAAGAGGAGGAACCATTCCAGATAGGGAACACACAAAAAAGCCCCAAGACAGAGTGAACAAAATGAATTTCAGAAGGTGAAGGGTCACAGCAATCCCACTTCTGGGCATTTCCCCAAATGATCACAAACAAGGCCATACTAAAGCTACCAGCACAACTATGTTTATCACAGCATTATTCACCATAGCTAGGATGTGTGTGTGTGTGTGTGTGTGTGTGTGTGTGTGTGTGTGTGTGTGTGTATGTTATATATCCATTTGCTAGGAAATGGAAAGACTTGGAAAAATCATATTAAGTGAAATAAGCCAGGCCCAAAGAAACATGTCCCATGGTTTCCCTTATTTGCAATAACTAGTATACATACAGGATAATCTTACCGGACAAGCAGAAAAGGTCAAAAGCTATGAACATATGACCATATAAAATGATGCTAAGCGAAATGAACCCCAAGATAGGAACACAAGAGGTTTTGTCTTTGTCGATGTTGTTTTTAAGGTACTATGTGATTTTTTTTTGTTTCTTTTGTATGTTCTCCCCCCCCCCACACACACACCCCGTGGTATAACCCCTGTTTTCACTGTCTTTGATTCCAGTGCCCTGCATCTTGTTTATATGTTTTTCTAATTTGGGAAGGGGAAGGGAAAGAGCAAAATGCTGAATAAGGATACAGGTTAACCCACTGGAACAATGAGATGTACAAGACACTATTTTGAAAACCAAGTTTACAGCTTTGAGGGTGTTGGAGGGAGGGAAAAGCTGGGGAGGTAGAGAGGGAAGACATGGTAGGGGAAAAATAAAGGAGGAGGTAACAATGATAGGAAGTATCCTCATGTAACTGTAAACATTCTGTACAGTATCTTTACAATAAAAATATATATTAAAAAATAAAACAGGTAAGAGAAAATTTAGTCTCTCTACCTATCTTTGACCTAGAAAGAAAAACTGATGTTGCTAACTCAGAGTATTTATATAGCAAATAGATTACAATAGTATACACTATTTGAACCTAAGACCAAGCCATTTAATTAGGAACCCAGAGAAGAATATTAGAATAAATTTAGCAAGCTGAAAACTATAAAAATAAAATGGATAATTATGAAATTAGAGCTCTGAATTACTAAAAATATTTTACCCTTTGCAGTTAATTGGACTTATTCAGTAAGGAGAACTACAACTTATGAAGGAACTTTTGAGAAAGGGTCTGTTTCTACAGAATTTTTCTCCCTAACTGAAAAATTGGTCAAATAGATGATAAATTCTCAAAGAATTAAAATTTATGTCATAGTATAAATCCCTTCAGAGGCTAACACACCAGAATATTAGGTTAATATATATTCATCTTATTAAGTACCTTAAATATAGTTTTGAATAACTCTTGGAGACAACTTTATTCTTATAAAGATAGGCATCAGACTAAACACCCAGATGTACTTATTTGCTTTTACAAGTAATGAACATCATTATGACTTATAAGAAGTATTATTTCTTATGAATTTGTTTCTTGTGTTATTGGAATGCGTTGTATATAAATGTATCTAATTTATTAACCCATACTCTTTAGATTTTTCCTTTCTTTTTTGTGGTTCTAGCAATTGAACCCAGTTAGTAACAACTACATAAAATCTCTACAAATCATGTGCACTATGGCCCTCAGACATTTCTTTTCTTTTCTTCCTTTTTTTTGGTCGCTCATGGGGCTTGAACTCTGGGCCTGAGCACTGTCCCTCAGTCTTCAGCTCAAGGAGAGCACTCTACCACTTGAGTTACAGAGCCACTTCCAGTTTTCTGGTGGTTTACTAGAGATTAGAGTTTCACGAACTTTCCTGCCCAAGCTGGCTTTGAACCGCGATCCTCAGATCTCAGCCTCCTGGGTAGCTAGGATTACAGGCATGAGCCACCGGTGCCGGGCCCTTTTTTTAATTTACAAAACAAAGTCTTGCCCAACTTTGCCTCGGCTGGCTTGAAGCTTGTGTTCCATCTCCTAAATACCTAAGATTATACACCTGAGCCATAGTCCTTGGATATTTTACTCTTAGTTGATTTCTTCTTGTAGGCAATGAAGTAGCCCAGATTAAAATGTTAATATTCTAATTTTGTAAATATGCAATATTAGTTTTAGACAATTTTAAATATGAAGTTTGATACATAAAAAACATAATACACTATATAACCTCCATCATGATGAAAATAAAGAATATTTCCATTTCCATCCCAAACTCCTCATACTCCTTCAAAACAGCTCAGTACCTGGTCACAGATCATCACTTATTTGTTTATGACATGAGAGGGTCATTTTACCTGTCTCAAATTTCATATCATATAACCTTTGGTAACTGGCTTCTTCATTTTCCTCAATCTTATTCCCCTCCATTGCCAAGGAATATTAGTATACCTATATGATAAGTTGTGTATTTCCAGTTGGTACACTTTTGGACTGTTTCTCATTTGAGGTTATTCTTTAAAAAAAAAAAAAAAACCTATGAGGGACTGGGAAGGTAGCTCAGTGGTAGAGCACTTGCCTTGCATGCATGAGGCCCTAGGTTTGATTCCTCAGCACCACATAAGCAAAAAGAAAAAAGCTGGAAGTGGCGCTGTGGCTCAAGTGGTAGAGCACTAGCCTTGAGCTGAAGAGCTGGGCCCAGAGTTCAGGCCCCAGGACTGGACCCCCCCCAAAAAAAAACTATGAATCTTCACTTAGAGTTTCAGTTGACATATGTTATTTCTCTCACTGGATGTCTAGAAATGGGACTGCTAGATGTATAACTGTAGGAAATGGCCAAATTTTTTTTTTGCAAAGTAGCTGTTGCATTCTCATTAACTAAATGCAACATTTCCTAATTCTCCATATTTTCACTAAGTATTATAAGTTTTGATGAATGAGAAGTACAAGTCGTTTTGTCAAAAACGAACTTTACAACTTTGGTGGGGGGGGCGGGGAGGATTGGGTGGGGGGAACAGGGGAAGGATGGGAAGGGATGGGAAGGGGAAACAAAGGAGGAGGCTACAATGCTTGATAAGAAATGTACTCAGTACCTTGCCCATGTAATTTTAACCCCTCTGTACAGTATTTTCACAATAAAAATATAAAATTTAAAAAAAAGAACTCTAAAACAACAGATGCTGGAGGGGATGTGGACAGAAGGGAACCTTACTACATTGTTGGTGGGAGTGTAAATGTTCAATCACTTTGGAAAGTAGTATGGAGGTTCCTCAAAAGACTCCACATAGAGCTCCCCTATGATCCAGCAATCCCACTTTTGGGCATTTACCCAAATGATCACAAACAAGACCATACTAAAGCTACCAGCACAACTATGTTTATTGCAGCATTATTT